ATCACATAATTCGTAACGCACAACTCGATTGACACTTACATTCAATCTGAGGAGCTTGTGTGTTTTTATAGAAGCATCAATAAGAGTGGAATTGTGTGGGTTTCCTCCCACTGACAGTCAGCAGTCTTCATGATAGGCTGATTTCCTACCGCTGTTCACATCTATGGGCCGGTGTCAAAGTCACTTCCAGCCATTATACAGACTCTCTGAGTCCTTGGGAGAAGGAATAAGTCAAAATAATGAGAGATCTGCAGAGCACAGCATTATATAATGAGATGAGTGTGACGTGACAGAACAACAGTGATGCTTTGTGTCTTTGTAACTGAAAGATGGAAGTCAGATATTGGCTTTGAAGGATCTTTTCTTGTGCAAGATGTCGGTTTTGTTAATCTTCTATTAGTTAATCCAGAATACAAACAATTCTTGTTTATTTAAAAAAAATAAGAATTATTTAATAAAGTATTTTATTTAAGTATTTTTAAAATAAATTATTTAATACAATTAAAATGATTTATTAATTATTTATTTTACTTTTATATATATATATATATATGCGTGTGTGTGTTTTTCTAAGACGCACAACATTATAGAATCAAACACTTTTGCTTACAGGAAAGAAAAAGTAGCTTTTGTGATACTTGTGTTGGTTTTAAAGAATAATCTTTTGTGCAAGATGTCTGTTCAAGTTTATTTGTATAGCGCTTTTCACGATACAAAAGCAACTTTACAGCAAATTATGTTTCTACAATATTTAGTGGTAGTTTATCAGTGGTGACTGTCAGTTAATGTACATATGGCAGAAATGTACGGAAAAATTTATTAAAGACGTAATCAAACAGACGATGAACACTAACAGCAATTATTATATATTTGACCCAAAGTTATGTTGAAACAACACCGCATTTTTTTTAGTGTTATAGTTTGTATTTTCAGTTTTCACTTCAGTTAAAGTTTTAGTAATTCAGTAAAAATGTTGTAGTTCAGTTTAAAAATTTTTTTTGTCTTTTAATATTTCTGAATTGTTATTATTATTTGTATTTATTAGTTTTAGTACTTGAAGCTAAACTAAACAAAAATAATGTTGTTTTTAAAAATATATATAGTTTAGGGTTAAATGTAGCTATAAGTCAATCATTTCACTACGATTAATTTCTCTGTGATTTTATAAAAGATACGTGCATAATAATAATAATTAGCAATAATTAGCAAACATTTTAGATTTAAGTTCCCAAAAAGTAGGTGAACTAACCTGCCTGTTCACAACACAATGACTAAAACTTATGCAAATGTTACAATATGGACTAACCCAACTTTTGGATTAAAAAATTAATTAAAATGTTTTGTCCATATTTGACCCAAAGTTATGTTGAAACAACACAGCATTTTTTTTAGTGTTATAGTTTGTATTTTCAGTTTTCACTTCAGTTAAAGTTTTAGTAATTCAGTAAAATATTTCTGAATTGTTATTATTATTTGTATTTATTAGTTTTAGTACTTGAAGCTAAACTAAACAAAAATAAATAATGTTGTTTTTAAAAAAATATATAGTTTAGGGTTAAATGTAGCTATAAGTGAATCATTTCACTACGATTAATTTCTCTGTGATTTTATAAAAGATACGTGCATAATAATAATAATTAGCAATAATTAGCAAACATTTTAGATTTAAGTTCCCAAAAAGTAGGTGAACTAACCTGCCTGTTCACAACACAATGACTAAAACTTATGCAAATGTTACAAGTTATTTGGACTTTTGTGTTTTAAATTTTTTTTCATTTGCATTATGCTTGGAATTATAGCGCCATTTTAATAAACACTTGATGTGACAATAGGTTCTGTGCAGAGTAGATTCTTTGTTAGGGTCTAGTATCTTCCTCTGGAGATAAAAAAATATATGTTTTAGAAAAGTGCAGAAAAGGCTAGATGACAATTACTGTCTGAATATGAAGGCTGTGTTGTTCATTTCTCCTCCTGAATACCTCATAGTGATAAAGCATTTTTTCCTGATCTTAGAATGGTTTGCTGTTCTTATAAAGACAGGGATTTTAAGGGTTTTAAACTTTATTCAGAAATTCTTTGTAATAATTTTCATAAATATCTTACTTTTTTGTATTTTTACATTAATTAGATTTTTTTTATTAGTCAGATCATAAGTTAATATGCATTTAAATAATAACCTCAAAATGTTTTTATAAGAGAATATGTGAATATCTTTGCATCTCGTTTTATTCTTTTTCTTAGCCTTCAAGCAAACATTTTGTTAGGGTTACATTTATAAAACAAGAAATTGTTTAGATCCAAATTCTCAAAATTCCTCCTGTGGAATTCGTTTTGAAAACTGCCATTGCATTACCATGGAAACGGTACTTTAAATCTTTTTATTAGGCTCCTCCCCCTAGTGGAGGGTGTCAAGTTTCATATTACAAAATTTACTATAATTTTTTACTATCAAAACTTTTTCTAATCTTGACAAAACACATTGTTGGAAAGTCTCAAGTTGGCTGTTTTATGATAATCAATTTTGTAATAATTTTGACAGAATTTTATAAATTCGCCTTAACCTCAATTTACACAGGAACCTCAATTTTTGTGATATCAACTTCAAATTTGGAACATAGGCCTCCTGTAGCGAGTATTTTGTAAGAAAAATATTAATATTTCAAACGTAATAAACACTCTTCTTTCACTTCATCTAACTGTGGTACGTGGAAGCCGTTCCGGCGGATGACGTATGACGTCGGCGTTGCGTGATTAGTGACGAATGCGGAGAGAGAACAAAACAAAACGCCGGTCACGAATTAGAAGTACAAACCGAGGATTTGCAAAGAAAAATGTTGGAGGATTTCGATATAAACCAAGAGGAGACTGGTTTTCCTTTGCTAAAGTAAGGAAACTTTGTTTCCTTTGCTCCTATAAACAAACTCGCGAGACTAGCATATCTCAGAGGCGCGCGCTGCACATACGTGCTGCGTCATCCGCCGGAACGGCTTCCCCGTATGACAGATAACTGAAGTGAGCGAAAAGTGTTTATTACGTTTGAAATATGGATATTTCTCTTACAAAAATGGATTCGCTACAGGAGGCCTTTATTCACCCCCTGGAGCCGTGTGTTAACCCTTTAAGAGTCAGAATATTTTGGGGGTCACTAAATATATTCTTGAACCCCTATAGCTTTTCTTGTTATTTCTTGAAATGCTATTATTACATTAGTCATTTGTTAATTATGTTAGAGAATCTGTCCGTGTTCAGTAGCCTGTCTGATAGCATTATTCTAAACATGCAGAGACTCATGGTCAGTGACAAACAGCTGATCACCTTATTTGCTCCCAGAAATGTGAGGATTTCATTTAGAATCCCTAGACAACATGGGTGAAAATTAAACTAGTAGTTAATGAGAGAGGTGTAATGATTTGGGCCACAAGGGGAACTGAAAGAACAGATGGACGGAATGAATAATGCATTTCATAATCTTCACTAAGTCGTGAATGTATTTTCTGTGGCAGCAGATGTCATTTAGACTTCTGTCCTCCTGGACTCTGAAGGAATCTGAAGTAGCAGGAATAGAGAGGTTAGAGTGAAGGCGAACTCAGACAGTGACAGAGTTATTAATGCATACTGTGAATGACAGAATTCAGAAAAATGTATGAGGGTCAGCAGTGTGAATGTTGAATAGTTTATACAAAATATGACTTGAGTACTGCTTTTCTGTGATGAACGATTTCAGTTTCTGATTTAAAAGTCAAGCTTAAAGCCAAAAAATGTCTAGGTTGAGAAACTGTTGAGTAAATGTTGGCAGAAATAGTTTTTAGCATAATCTTTTACTGTTATTTTTAAAGGATAGTCAGTGAAGCAATTATAAAATGTTATTATTTGGAAATAGTTTTGTCCACCAAACCAAAGTCAGTATGCTGTAACCATAAGTTATTTTGTGTCATATGACAGTTTTGTGTGTGTGTGTGTTTTTGTCACAGGTTCAGAAAGTTGGCATTTGAACTTTGCTGAAACTACACTACATTTTACATAAGAACATTTAGCTAATGTTCTCATTAAATTAACATTATTTCAGAATGCTCTTGTTCAAAATATCCTTTTTTCTTGGCTATGTGAATGTTAAGGAAACTATCCATTTTATAAATTTTCAAGCATTATGGGATTGTACTTATAAATGTTCTCTGAATATTTGAAACAAGTAACTATTAAAGAGTAGCATTTAAAAAATGTAAAAATAGTAACATTAAAAAAAAATTTAGACAAACATCCAACTAAAAAACTCTATTTTCTCACAGAAATTAATAGTGTATTCAGCAATTCAATTGATCAATATAATGTTCCATAGATTCATATTTTAAATAAATATGCACAGCATCCTGAAAAAAATGTATCAGATTTTCCATATGAATATGAAGCAGTAAAGTTTTACTGCTTTCAACAGAGCAGCAAATCAGTATACTAGAATGATTTCTGAAGATCATGTGACACTGGAGACTGCAGTAATGATGCTGAAAATACAGCTTTGCATCAAAGGAATAAATGACATTTTAACACATTAAAACAGAATACAGCAGTTTTCATTTGCAGTAATATTTCACAATATTAATTTTTTTACTGTATAGTCTTTATTGATACTTTTTGGCTATTTTACTTGATGGCTGACATGAACAATGTTGTTACCCATGACCAAATCATGTATAGCTGTAGATGAGATAACAGATGGCAGATACTGAACAGACAGTGATGTGAGTTGACTGGGTGAGTTTAACAGTATAGACTAACGCTCAGTAAGTGCCTCTGGAATGATCTTTTGATTGCAGTTGACCTTGCGCCACTTCTTGCATGATAACGAGTCTCTCGGACGGTAGGTCCCTCCCATGGTTATGAATAATACATGACATACAGTTGGTCAAGGCAGAGGTCTGTCAGTCTGTGCAGTGCTGCATGCTACAGTCACGCTGGCGATGATCCGGTCGCCTCGCGCTCACACTGCAGTGGCGCATCGCTGTCCTCTGTGCACTGCTACTGACTAACAGTGGCGGTATTGATATGTAGAGCGGAGAAACCGGCCAGCGTTCAGCCCAAGTATCTGCGGAAGGGAAAGGAAGCCGTATTTTGTTGCTGGTGGAGGGCTGTCATGAGAAAAAGCACGCGAAGGAAACACATCACTCAGGTTACACCGGTGCCGACGCGAGCGGAAGAAGGTGGGACGGAGAGTAAAAGATACGCAAGGTACGTGTTTGTCTCTCTCTCTCTCTCTCTCTCTCTCTCTCTCTCTCTCTCTCTCTCTCTCTC